CATGGACTCAAGGGCAGGAAGTTTGGATTGGTTTTGAAGTTTCAAGGAGCCCTGGTGGCTTAATGGGTTACAGTTGTGCTGTCAACTGCAAGGTCAGCAGTTCGAAACTGCCAGCTGAGGGAGCAAGATGAGGCTTTCTACTCTCAGGAAGAGTTACAGCCTGGGAAACCCACAGGGCAGTTCGACTAGGTCCTGGAGGGCCACTGTGAGTCAGCATCGACTCCATGATGTTTGTTTCCCTCGAGCAAGCACAAGAAAGACTTAAATGTGTGTTACGTTGACCATGCCCTCTTCCAGTCTGCATGTTGCCCACCTCACCCCAGGGCAGTTCTACTCTCCTATAGGGTCTCTGAAGGGGCCCAGGTGGCATAGTGGGCTGTTTGGCTGCTAACCGCAAGGTCAGCAGTTCAACACCAGCTTCTCCAAGGGAGAAAAATGGGGCTCTATTCCCATAAAGTTCTCATTAATGCACTGGGGCTCTCCTACCCTGTTCTGTAGGGTCACTATGCGCTGGAATCCACTCAATGGGAGAGTGTGGTTTGGGTTTTAGGGTCTCTGAATTGGGAATTGACCGGACAGCAGTAGGCTGTGGGGCTGGGTTGTGTGCTGTCTGTAGTGTTAAGCTGCTCTGGAGAACACAATGGAGTCACACTAATGATGCCCAGGCCCCGACCCCATCGCCACCACCATCCCTAGTGGGTGTCTTAATTGCTGCCAATGATGGAGTGAGGATGAAGGGGTAGATGGCCAGGAGCAAAAGGCCTGTGTGAACACCCTTCCTGTCATTAGTGCCAGTGGCTCTGCAGGATGGCCACACCCACTGAATCCTGGGGTCCCTCTTTCTGCCAGCCTTCGCCTAGAACTTCAACTCCCAGCTTTCCAAGTTCTGCTACAGTAATTGGTGTGAGTGGCCCCTGCTGCTTTCACTTATTTTTCTGTTTGCTGGGTCTGAGAATCTCTTTGGTGATGTGGTAGACTTTAGGGCCTGTGTCTATAAATGGCTTATTTATTTATTCCCTGTGCCCACTGCTTTCCTACTGTTTTCTTACTGTCGGTGTATGGGAGCTCCTTGTATATTCTTGACATTTAATCCCTTATTAAGTTCCATAGCAAATGTTTTCAGCCAGCTACCATGCCAACCACAAACGCATAAGAAGATGTGTGTCGGCCCTGGTGCCATCCAATTGATGCTGTCTCAGAGTAACATATGAAAGGGAAGAGACAAAAGACGCAACGAGAATAGAATGGGGATAAAGGAAGAGAAAATGGGAGAAGTTGTAGAGTTTAAATCAAATATAACAAAATAAGATGATGAAAATACAGAATAAAAA